GGAGGTTGTGGTCTTTTGTTGAGAGATATCGTTGTTCTCAGCAATAAGATATAGTTGCTCTCGCGACTCTGTCCCACTTCCTCCATTCCATACACTCTTGACTATATGCTAGGTGACTACTGTTTTGGTAATTGCCCCTTTTTCCGATGCAATTTGCACATTTTGGTGCCTTTTTTCTGTTGTGACATTCTCTTGTGTCGTGTGCCTCTGCGCAAAAACCACAGTTTGTTCTTTGCGCTTGACACTCCTTTGCTCGATGGGAGAAGCCAAGACACCTAAAACATTGAGTGATAGGTGATTGGTCGACGTTTGGGACTATTTGGAAACCAATTCTAATCTGTTGGTCTCTAAATTTTGTCCATATCTGTGAACTCATCTCTAAAACGACATTACAAGTAGAACTTGTGCGTCCTTTCGTTCTTCTGATAACTCTTATATATTGTTGTGCAGGTGAGGTGTCTTTAAGGAGAGCACTATTTTGTCTTATGATGGCTTCCTCTATCTGTGTATCTGTAAGGTCAAAGACAACCCCAATCAATCGTAAGAGTGGATTCCTTGATGTTGGTTTATAGACAGTAAATTTGGCCGTTGTGTTCCTTAAATCGCAAGGTGGGGTTAAATGACGTCAACTTAAAAATGTTTACCAGAATACAAAACAATTTCTATTATCTGTTTCATTTATGAATGACACTTAGACTTACACTTCCCTGAGTGAAAAAGACATAGACATAGTATCTTATAGACTAAACATTCAGTGACGTCATCAGCGTGTGAAAGGAATGCACGTATATAGTTAGACATAAGAGTAAGGGAGAAGCAAATCTATATTTCTTGTCTTTCTAGGTATGCGTTTTTGATTGTTTTCCCTCATTTATTTGACATTAACGATGTCGAGCTCTTTTGAATAATATTGATATTATAATCAAACAGGTTATTGAATTTAGTGTTTTTTGTGGATCTTAGTTATTAGGTAAGGTGAAAAAGATGGTAAGTTGTAGCATTTTAGGATGCAACAGCATCAGTCAACGAAAAATTGATAATATTACCTTTCATCGGTAAGTTTGTTTTGTGCTTACATTTGCTACTTGTACTGATTAATATCTATTGTTTTGAATATAAAGTGTAACATTTCATGTTTTTAATGAACTTTGTGATGTATTTTGTCAAATATTTGGACTCCCAAATTGTAAATTCTTCATGATAATGCTCCTTAATTTGAACGGTCATTCGAAAGCTTAAAGTCATAACAAACGTGTACTTTTTGATTTGGTAGGATTATAGAAACTTTAGGGATATCAGCGAGTACAATAATGTTTTCGCATTGTTCAATAATAATTGTTATTGTGATTAGTAGTTATGTCCATAAATATGAATCACATAATGTTATACATAAACGAGTACATACACTTTTATGTTCAGCTATAAAGGAAACTCCTTATTGCCCTACAACTCTTCAATCATTTTCCATATTACATAGACGTCACAAATAATATGTAAGTATCAACCTGAAAACATGTTTGGATTCAAGTACATAAATATTGGGCAAAGTATATTTAATTTCACAAAATATGTATTGCCTGAAATCAGATGCACAAAACTTTATTGCATTCCATTAATTCTATTATACATTAGCAACAATTACATTACAATATTTATTAAAAAAATGTCATGCTAATATAAAAATAAATATAAATATATATAAAATAATAAATAAATAAATAAGTCTTAATCTTAAGGTACACAATAACACAATAACATAAGATAATATTCTCAATTAATGATGTAGAAAAAATTTGATGATAATATACTTACCGTTACCATTAGTCAGTATCAAAATTTATAGGTTTTGTGATAGTTGCCTAGCTTGGCAGGAGAATTGACAACTGCAGTTATTTGGAGACAAACTGTGTGGGAGGTCTATGTTCAGCGGTGGAGGACATTTGTTAGGCTGTAAATGTATTAATGAACAATATCTAAAGCTTATTATGTACATAATTTTTTTAAAGGTTTGGTATGAATAATATCATCATTACATTTACATATACTTGCTATTTAATTTAATCAATTGATATTGTTTTAATTGTTATAGGTATTGTATTTATGCACAGATACACATACTTGAATTTTTTGTTGTTAAATACCTTAATATAAGAGTGTACTAATATATTCAATATATTAATTTCTTTTAAATATATTATTTCACAGCTTTCCTAAGGAATCAGCTATCCGTAGCAGTTGGATAATCGCTACTGGTAGTGCTTATAGGTAACCAACAAAACTTAGCAGTGTATGCTCAAAACATTTTAAGCCTCATTGTTTTAGGTGGACTAAATAGGCTTTACTTATGTAATTTATAATATAATTAAGATAATTTTTTTAAATTTTATAATTTCTTGTTGTTTCTTGTGGTTTCTCCATAAGTGATATAAGTTTGATCTTGTTGGTAGTTATGATTTTTGACATTGTTCTGTATGTATTAAAAATTGACTAGCATTGCTTATTTTATTTTCAAATGCTGACATTCTGTATTATTATGACTTGTAATAATTGGGTGGCATGACAATGACAAAATATTTACTTATAGATGTATTGATTAAACATGAATCCTCATTTACAAATGTTGGAACTTTATCTGTACTACCATGTTTTATGCAAATAAAGATTTAAATAAAATAAATAAATAAGTAATTTAAAGTCCTGACCTAAATATACAAATGAATAATTTATTATGCAATAATAATTGTAAAACTGACTGGGAATGCCTACCAATGGGACATTTAGTCCACCCTTAATCCCTTTTATAAAGGTGTTATAAACATTAATGTGTAAATAAATTACGAAATAAATGTAATAATTATGATAATTTCTATTTCATTGTCATAAAATAATGTAATAAAGATGTATTTGACAAGAGATAAGTATTACCTATCTAAGTATAGTTTAGGAGTTGTATCTTATTATTTATACCATTAAAATATATTATATACAAGGCAAATAATATATATATTAAGAAAAAGAAGAAAAAGAAAAGAATGAATATATATATATATATATACTCCCTTCTAATCTGATTCTAACGACTAGCACCCAAGAATTTCTGCCATGCAAAAGTATAAATCAGGTTTACAAATGCATATTTTTGAGAAATTCTAAGGCTACTCAAACCAACAATTACAACGAATGCTCTAGAAAGAAGACAAAAATTTTGTTAAATTTGTTGTTTATTAATGTGATGAAAAATTAATAAATAATCGTTTGTTTATTTTAATTTTATTGAATTATATTTAATATATAATTGTGTTTTCATTTGTTTTACTTAATATAATATTGTTAATATTTCTACATGTTGTGTAAGTACACAAAATTTAGTTCTTTTTCCTTTTTAAATCTCAATATATTTTCATTTAAATAGAATATATATCTTTACAGTCTATCAAAAGTCCACTGTTGAACATAAACATTATTATAGTTATTTGGCATAGTTTCAACGCTTGGAAAGCGGGTTGTCCACCATTATTTAGCTGTTATCAGGACAATGCTGCTGTTTATCTTCTTTGATGTTTCCCTATTTCGCCTCATACACCACCCATGGAATGATATGAGGTAGCAAATAATCTTACACTGCATGGTAAATTAAAATAGAATATTATAAAACATTAGTTTTTATTTTATATACCAACATATTACAAAAAAAATCCTTTGTTGATGCTTTACAACGTATATTAACTAAAACATTTTACCACCTTAACCATTAGGTAACATGATTAAGCCACCTAACCTTAAGTAAGTCGCCTAAAAAGGCCTTCCATAGATATCCTCATAGGATGAGTTGCCACGCCTGCGTGAAAATATGCGTTATGCTGGTTGGCCACCGCAGTTTTTTATTATTTTAAGTTTTCATCGGGAAAGTGCTGCTGCCCCATCCCCATCTTGTATTATTGCTTACGACGCGGGGTAATATCATCCCATGTACAGACAAATTCTCTTGTACGCCACAACTTGCCGCACACAAGACACTAACTTAGCAAAACATGCAGGAAATCGCGGCGTAATCGAGTAGGCTCATAACCGTGTTTTGTACTACAAAACCTAAGTGGAAACCCTTTCCTTTCGAAGGTCTGTGTTTAGCACTGAACTTGTGATGGAATTGTATGTTAAAATATTATTGATTTTTTTTAAAAACCAATAAAACTCGACACAAGGAAATTTTTGTTTATTATTTAATATTTTTATTCTCAATTAATATTTAAGTACATACATAACATATTGTTATTTATTAACGATATCACACTTTGTGCTATTAGCGCCTTCACTTAGTGTCGTCGAAATCCAAAGAGTTTATTGAATGTCCAGTAAAATCGTCAATGCGCCGTTGAATACAGAATGATGATTCTGTTTTTACGCCGTTTCCGCCCGTAGTTTTTGTCACAAAATGTATTTTCAAGAAAAATTAATTAATCATCTGAATTATAAAAGAACATTTTTTTATGGTAACAATTAAGTTTTTTGTATGAATGTAAGTGCTGTAAATATAAATAAACCCATAACGGGGGAAATGGGACAATATCTGGTAACCCAGTGAAAGTACCTCCCGCCTATTTCTATCTCAGAAGCATACGCGAATGCTTTATCTAGTCAATCCTCTATCTACGGAAAAAGAGATAGGCAGCATATTGACAGTTCAATGTCGAATATAACCATATTTCTATAACCAATAAAACATATAGACGCTCTGGGCAGCTCCTCTATTTTCTATGCTCAAAGCTCTCACCATTTTTTTAAACTGGCTTTACGGCTCTGGATTCTAGCCCTTCTGAGCCTATGCTCTCACCACTCACCACTCACGTAGAGAGTGTCAGCAAGGTGTCACCGCTGTGCTTATACTATATCTATGACATTTGGCAATTGGCATGCATATGGCAGTTTGACAGTTGGTGACACATTGGTATAGACCATAGATAAATAAATATTTGTACAATGTACATTGGTTGGCACTTGGCACTTCAAGTTTAAAGATTTACATAGGTAGTTGTGATAAATGAGTAATGATATAAAAATGAATGAAGTATCAATTAAAAAACCTCTAGAAGTGACCCCATCATTATTAGATGCATTTGAATTATTAAAGTCACCTAAAGATGATGTAAAATTAAATGGTGGTGTTAAAATCATATCACGCCTTCTGAACAATGAGGTTAGATTTTTTAATTTATATATTGAAAGAAAAATACTTGTTTCTTTAAATGGAATAAACTATTTTTAAAAAATTTATATCGACTGTAATAAATGAAATCCATAAAATTTGTATCTCAATGCTTTTTTAAAATTTTATGCACAAAATAAAGATGCGTTATAGCATAACATAAACTTTAGTTTGTATAACTTTATTTTGTACAATGTGTTACTATTATACTTAGCGATTCGCCATGGTTTTACACGGGTGTGTTTCACTAATGTGTTTAATTTTAACCTTGTTTTCAAAAAGGAGGAGGTCCTCGATTCGACTGTAATTCCGCTGTCTGACAGTAGTTTTTGAGTTATACTTAATAATTTACGTTTTATTTTATGAAACTACACATCAAATGACTACATATCATAGACAGGGTAATTCAAATAATATAATATTTCGATAACCACCCATTTACCTACTTAGTAGTAATGGGTTCTTCTCATTACATTCTTTGCACTATTTCAAAAATTATATTTGTACCTAAATGTGAAATTATTTAACAAGAGAAAATAAATAATTTCATGGAACCCTGGTGACTCTTTCACGGAACCCTTAGGGTTCCACAAAACCCACTTTACCAATCTGTTTTACAGCAGCAGAGTAACTTTATTTTAATATTTTTTTAGTATCTTACCATTAGTGACTGTTGATACTTTTATAGAGGTCACATGGATTAAGTTCATATTTAAAATATATATTTTTTTAGGTATTTCTTTAGTAATCAGCGGCATGAATATATGGTCGCCGAGTGGGTGAGAGATAGGGGGGAGTTGTAGAGTCACCCCCCACTTCCATTTTCTGCCCTTCTAACCTAACCTGTACGGGTCAGGGTGCCCCAAGTCCCAAGCTCGCTTCGCTCGCTCTAGCACCAAATAAAACATCAAAATGTTAACTTTTATAATTACTTTAATAAATAAACATATTTTATTACTTCCACCATTTCTAAAAACGTCGTAAAATAGCAAGCAATTGGTCTCCAGAAGGGTCTCGGAAAACAGGAGGCAGATAATAACAATAAGGAGCACATTCACATTAACTCTGAAGCAACGGAATGACGCTTTGAACATGCGAATTGACGCGAGTCGTGAAATCGAAAATAAACGTAAAATGGTGTGATTATATTCTCTTTGATCGAGTTTATCTGTGACTGTCAATGTCAAAAGTTCAGTTTCAGGTATTAATTAGTGATTTATGAATATTTTTAGAAAATAATTTTAAATATTTCGATGCAGCTCCGGTAACTAAAATTGCATGGGGGCGCTTGAGGTAAGCCCCCTTGACCACCCCACAGTGATAGACTCTAATAATTATATTGTTATTTCGTTTTCGTATCATTTTAAAATGGATATAACCTCAAAACTATAATTATCAATATCTCGAAAACTAAAGATTTCCGGCATAAAAAGCAGCTAGATGGTAATCAATAGCATCATTGCCTATCACCTAAAGCTAAAATAATCACTTAAATCGTGCCGCAGATTACTAAAGCTGACCCTTTTTTATAAATAACTTACTTGGTGACAACACTTCTTTTCTCTCTACAAGTTTGTCTAAACTGGTTGTATATTATTAACCTCAAACAGCAGTGCACCCATTGCTATGTTCTATGTTTGCTATGTTTGAAGCGTAACACAGCTAGAATAATGCCTACTAATAATGACTATGAGGCATTACATCTTGTTCTGACAATATGATAATGCAACTGTGGCCAAGGTTGGCAAGTGTTCATAGATTGTTGTCATCAAATACATCTCATGAAATATATATATTTTTTTTAAAGCGACCATCAAGGGACCGGCAACATTACATCTTCCTAATCTAACTCACTAAATGGACATATTATTTACAATAATTGTGTTATGTACTTAATAAAAATGTATTATGATTTTGATTACTTAATTAATATGAAATGTAATTGTCAATGAAAATAAAAAAACTTAAATGAAATACACAATTTTTAGTTCTAAGACCTTGTAATATAAAATGTAAGATTATGACAAAATGCAAATGTTTTTATTAATAAATTATATATATTACTTGCGTAAAAAGTCTGTAATTTTAATATGCTTTTGATTTATTTTTGTTTGATAGTAAGTACTACGCACAGCATTGTGAAGGGAACATATGCTTTTCATAGTGTCATGGTCAAAATTAATATGCACAAATATCTATATCTTCTTCAGATTTCAGAACTTCGGACCCACTGGGAGTTAAACAAATCTGTTCAGGCTTCTCATAATAAACACTGTATTATACAACATTTTTCTTCAATTGATAAACATTTTTGTTTAACGGAACTTATTTTTGCATGGAATGACTTATGCTGGCAATCAAATGTGTATCATGAGGAGAGCGAGTAGGGGTGACATGGTATTTGCAAACAAATGAAAGACGCACGTTGTTTAAGCAGACAATTTTTTTGTAAATTACGTCACTGCCCATGCGGTCGGAGCTAAGTTCTGCAAGACCCACTGCTGAAGAACACAAAACTCTCCGAACACAATCTCATGGCTGTTGGATGGAAATGAAGTCTTCAACAGATTTGACAGCATACAAGCAACTGAACAGACAGATCTCCAAATGCATACGGCGGAACTTACGCAACTTCAATACAGCTCGTATTGAAGAAGCGATCGTGCGGAACCAAGGCTCCATAGTCTTTGCCAGAGATCTGTCCGCCAGAAAGAGCCAATTGTCACAGCTGAAGATTGAGTGCGTCAGCACCTTTTCCAGGACACCTGAGATTTTGAGTGAGATTTAGAGGTACTATGGGCAGCTGTACACGTCATCGTTGGAGCCACACACAAGTGAGAGTAACGATCCAAGAGCAAGTCTTATCCAACACTATTCCGATGATATCGCAGACGTTAGTCTGAGCAGGATTAGAATAGCACTCCAGCACTTAAAAAACAGCAAGACCCGAACGAAGATGGATTTACAGCAGAGTTTCTTAAAGTGGGTGCAAAACCAGTACTTGAAGTCCTTCAGAAGTTCTTTAACTCTATCCTCGATAGTGGGGCTACCCCGGAAGCGTGGAGCAGAAGCGCGGTGGTCTTCTTCGTCAAGAAATACGACAATGCTCTCTTGAAGAACTACAGACCGATTTCCCCTCTGAGCCGCGTCTAAATGCTGTTTTCGAGACTCATTACGAATCGTCTTACACAGGCTCGACGACTTTCAGCCTCCCGTACAAGCCGGTTTCCGATAAGGCTTTAGTACCATAGGACTACTTACATACTCTTTGGCAAATTGTATAGAAGACTGAAGAGTACAATCTGCCACTTTGTCTTGCATATGTGGATTATGAGAAAGCCTTTGATTCCGTCGAAAGTCTGTCGAAGTCGTAGTTACTGGGCTGGAAAGGATACGGTATTAACATCAATGGCGAGTACATCACTCGCCGTCGATTTGCCGACGATGTAGTCCTTATGGCAGAATCGCTGGAGGACCTAAGCACTATGCTCAGTGATTTCTATCGTGCCTCCCAACGGATAGGTCTTAAGATGAACATAGACAAAACGAAAATCATGTATTAAGTCCATGTCACACCTATGAGGGTAGTTGTTGGGAGTACTAAGCTCGAAGTTGTTGACGAGTATGTTTACTTAGGACAAATAGTCCGACTAGGTAAGTTCCAACTTCGGCAGCGATCTGAAAATTACGACACATCTTCTCGTCAGCTTTACCTCAAAACCTGAAAACAAAATTGTACAACCAGTGCGTGTTGCCAGTAATGATTTATAGTTCCGAGACGTGGTCCCAACCAGTGGTCCGCAGGCCATTCAGAACCACTGTTCTAGACAAAGTCGTAGTAAACGGATCCTACTGTATTCAGTTTAAATTTGGGATATACTTAGATATTACATCATATCTTTTGTATTAATATCATGATATCTAAAGTGTTTTACAAATTTCCTTATATTCATTTTGTTTTAGGGTGAAAAAGATGTCCAATATGTCCTGAAACGATTAATACGAAGTCTAGGAGCAAATATTCCTGATATGAGGACTGGATATTTTGCCACTCTTGTGGAATTATTAATAAAATTTGAACAGATACCAATATCACAGTTATTTGAATTAGTTAAAAAAGAACTGCATGCCAATGGTTCTTCTAAAAGTGTGAGTTATCTTTTAAATCCATATGTTATATTGTATTTATTAAAAATATGTTTTATGTCTAATACAAAAGTGTGTTCCTTTGTTATAATGTTTTTTTTTATATGAAGTCTTAAAAAACACTGTGATAGCTTCTGATCCGTATAAATCCCCTTAGGTGGTGTAGTACCCCTCACGCCATGGACTTGGAAAATTAGTAACAAGGTTTTAATTTTGTGCTCAAACTTAAACAATACTGATTGACTTATGAAATATACAAAAATCATAGTAAAATCATAGTTTACATACATGATGACTTTGAATTATTTATTTAATTAAGAATGCAAACAGTAAGGGTTTCTACGACTTTTGCCGCCAGGGTGGTGTTGTAATATTTGACACATCATATTGGGGAGTTTAATTTGTTACAAAAATGTAAAGGTTAATGTTTTTAAAAGGTTATTAGTTATATTTTATATTAATTACATTTAAAATAAATAAACCAAACTACAGATACAGATAAAAGTGGACAAATTAGAAAAAGGAGGTTAAGAAGGTACGGAACATTAAAGAGCAAATCACCGAGGGATTGTTTTGTGTATTAATATAAAGTCGGCGCCAGATACAGCTTTAAACATTTGAACACTTGTTTGAAGCTATGTGTAGTACGGGACTTTGAATCAATGTTCAAATAAGTGCGCAAGAAATGCACTTTGCCAAGCGGTTTCGGTTTTAAGCGCACATCAAAGCGTTCAAAGTCGACAGTGTTCAAATGTTTGCCTAACCTGCCACACTTGCGCAAAGTTCATTCGCGCGAGCGTTGTCCAGCGGGATGGTCGTGCGCAGTACGTTTTCCAAATAGGTCCAAGCATAAAGACTTGAATGAATATTGAAATGAATATTATTTGTATGGTCAGCTGTTATCTGAAAAGATAAAACTCTTGGATGAAGATGACAGACTAGTACTTATGAATGAAATCGGTAATCTTGTATTTAAATATTTTATTTTATTGTATTATTTTTACACATGTAATAAATAATGACATGCACTTAAATAATACAGGCACACTGCATGCACAAAATCGTCGTCCATCTTGTTTGTCATTTATCAATGTACTGTGGAGATATGTGTTTGCAAAGCATATCTGGTAGGTTGCGGCAATAAGTGTTAAAACAAGTGTGCAAAGTCCTTCAAATAAGTGTTCAAATGTTGTTGCTATATCTGGCGCCGGCTTAACAAAAAACTTCACCTCAGTGTCAACTAGCGACATCTGGTGAACGGAAGATTATTAGCCCTCATTGTTGTAACAATGCAGCAATAGTATGCATACATAAACTTAGACACTAATTATACAATTAACTAAAGATATACAATTTTGAAGGAACTGTTTCAGTGTCTCTCATCTCACTCATCAATTTATTAGTTGTAATTTTAATGTACATGTTGAGCAAGTACTATAATATTTGTTTTTAATTTTCAGGAAGTTGGTGATGTCGCGTTAGGACAGATTCTTGTATGCAGTGCTATATTCCGTTCAGGTTGCATGCTGAAATGCACAGAGGAGGAGCAAAAACAAGTTTTACAGCTTCTAATGACAGCTAGTACCAAGAAATCTTACCTCAGTACAGTAGCTTTTCTCTTGCTGATTGATTTTATCAATGGGGTGGGTAAATGAACATTTCGTTAGAAATTTGCTGAAAATCATAGTGCTATATTATTTTTTGTTTATAGAGTTTGGTGGTGTTTCGGTGTTTTGTGGCATTCCTTAGGGGAGGCTATGTTCAGCAGTGGACTTGTGAAGGGCTGTATGATGAATCTGAAAAATCATGAGAGTGATATTCTTGTGCATATCATAGCTCCTTACGGCTAAGTTATATAATTTAACAGGTAATGAAGTGATTGAGACAAGTCTAGCCTGATAAAGCATGTGTCTGGCTCAAAAGGTCCACAAAAACAACACTTCTAGTTCGGTTTTTAAACTAGATTTACCTCTCACAATTTACGGTTAAAACCAGTGCCATTCAATGCGGGAGATTGACTTCCATAATTTTAAAAACAAAGTGTCACAAATGTACTTGTAGTGTATGAGCACTCTTCTTAACCAACCCACCCACATTACTTTTATCTGTTATATGAACAAATCTGAGTTTGGTCTATGGCCAACGGTCGAATGGTTAACACGTACTTGTGAGTGCTTTTCGGTATTTGGTTAATTCTCCTTAATTTCCTTATTTTGTGGTGGTGGATTCCTCTGCTGTAAGTCTACGTTTATAAGTTATAGTTATTTCGAACATTAAACCCAATTATGGGTGACGAAACGGGGCCTCCTCGTGAGAAACCCCCTGACCCTCCCGATGAAGACATGTGCTTTGGAGTAAGTGACAATAATGATTGTGGCCGTGGTAAAAAAAGACACGCTGAGACTCGATCATTTGATCCAGTAATATATAAAAAGAATTCTGTAATTGATTTAACAGCGTCAATAAACACAATATATAAACATCCCTGCCTAGAACAAAATCTTAGAATGTATGGTCCAAACGACCAAGGCCCTTTTATTGTCCACATCTCCCGGGCTACGTCAGATCCTAGAATAGGGCTATCACTTCGTCCAATTAAAATAGGTTTATGCTTGTCTAAAAATAAAATAGAAAACATCAAAAGAGGGGGAGTCAAAAGCGTTGGCAGAAATCGCATCTCTATTGAATTCTGCTCAGCCGATGAGGCTAAGAAATTTCTTAATAATCCAATGCTTGCAAAAGAAAAATTGTTTGCAACTATTCCATCCTATAATGTTTCTCGAATGGGTGTCATCCGCGGTATCCCTGTGGATTGGTCAATGGAAGAACTAGCAGAAGCTGTTGAGCTTCCTCCTGGTTGTGGTAAAATCCTAAAAGCTCGCCGTCTTCAGAGAAAGACTTTTGCTGAAGGGTCAACATCCCCAATATGGGTTCCCACTCAATCTATTGTTCTGACATTTGAAGGCCAGTTACTCCCCAAATATATATATGCATTTTACACATCCCTTGCTGTTGAAACTTATCAACTCCCCTCCATCCAGTGCAAACACTGTTGTCGATTTGGCCACATAGCAGATCAATGCCGTTCTAAACCACGCTGCTTCCGTTGTGCCCAAGAGCATACTGGAGCAAGTTGTTCTGTTCCTGAAAGTGAAGCCACTTGTCTGTTATGCTCCAAAAATCATTTTGCTAATAACAAAAACTGTCCGGAACACCAAAGGCAGATTTCTATCAAAGTTATGATGTCAGAACAAAATATATCCTATATAGAAGCTTCAGCCAAAATCCCATCTATCCGATTGAACAATCCTCAAAAACCGTATTCCGAAGTGGCCTCTACTCAGCTTTCACCTACTCCTACTACTTCCTTCAACCTCCCCACCATGTCACAGGCATATAGAAAAACCATCTTCAAACCTCCCCGCCCCATACCTAGAATTCCCATGGGGTATGACCAACAAGCTCATCAAAGAATAGTTGCAGACTGCCCATCCTCTACTCCAAATGGATGCGCTTTATCCAACACGCACAACCAAATATCTCCAAATGAAAATCTTGTTGAATGCCTAATTTCCCTCCTCAATAATTTAATTTTGAAAATGTCAGATTCACTACCGAACAACGTTGCAGAAAAAATCTTTAATTTAGCTAGTTTAATAGATAATATAAATGACTCAAACAAAAGACCTTCATCTCCTTCAATGGAACTGTAGAAGCTTGCAACCTAAAAAATCTGAACTCATCTTCCTAATAAATAAACATTCAATTTCTGTTGCTTCAATTTCAGAAACATGGTTCCTACCTAACTCCAAATTTCGCTTACAAGGCTTTACTTGCCTCCGTGAAGATAGAAATGATGGTTATGGTGGTTGTTGCTTACTCATAAAAAAATCCCTACCCTTCTCTCAAATTGCACTCCCTCCTCATAGCCAACACATTAATGCCGTAGCTGCAAAAATTGCAGGAATCAACATTATTTCAATATATATCCCTCATCCAAATACCCACTTAATTCAAGAACTATCCTCTCTCTTCTCTTTGTTACCTCCCCCTTTTATTATTACCGGTGATTTTAATTCACATCATGTATCTTGGGGGTCACATTTTTGTGACATATACTCTTCAGAACTTATACAAATTTTTGAAGACATTAATGCTTGCATTATCAACAATGGTTCCCCCACTCATAGAGTATACCCAGGACTAGACCCTAGGTCTGCTGTCGACCTAACAGCTTGTTCTCCTAGTCTAGCCCCTCAGCTTTCTTGGAAAACCCTCAATCAATCATATGGAAGTGATCACTTTCCCATTCTTATTACCAAACCCAATGCGGTTATTCCTTTACCCTTTACTATACCCCTCCTTAAATATAAGCTCCAAGACGCAGATTGGACTAATTTCACTAAATTTTTAGATACTAAATTTGCACAAATGCAGGTTGACTTCTCAACCAACCCAATAACTTCGTACTCTCTATTGGTACAATATATAACTGAAGCAGCTGACTTATTTATCCCATCCAAAAAACCCCACAGCAAGAACCTATCCTCCCCTCCATGGTGGGATGCTGAGTGCACCACTATGATTAAAAGGAGAAAAGCTGCAGAAAAGCTTTATAATCACTGTATGACAACCGATAATTTTATACAATTTCAAAAAACCTCCGCTCAAACAAGGAGACTACTTTCCAAAAAGAAAAAAAATGGATGGAAAAAATTCTGTGAATCCTTGTCCCCTAATTCACCAGTAACAATAGTTTGGAAAAATATAAAAAAATTTCGTGGCTCCCTTCTTTCTGATCCCAACATTTCTGATAACTCTTTACCATGGTTAGAAGTCTTCTCTGATATGTTAGCTCCTCCTTTTGTCCCTAATGAATATACAATATGCCCACCCATTCCAGTCCCGTCTTACATCAACAATAATGAGATAATCTTCTCATTGTCCGAATTACAGTCTGTGCTATCTGGCTTAAAATCCTCTTCTCCAGGAGAAGATGGCATACCCTATGCGTGTTTATGTAAATTAAGCCTTAAAGGTAAATTAATTCTTCTCCAAATTCTGAACAATATCTACATATCATCTAATATTCCTCTGTCTTGGTCAAACCAAATTGTTATACCTATCCTTAAACCCGGAAAAGATCCCAAAGAAGCTTCTTCCTACCGCCCAATCGCACTCTCATCTACTTTTTGCAAAATTTTAGAACATTTAATTAAAAACAGACTTGAATGGTTTCTGGAACATAATAACATCCTTGCAAAAAGTCAATTTGGTTTTCGTAAAGGTAAAAGCACTCTAGATAGTTTGAGCATCCTAACTTCAGATATTAGGTTGGCCTTTTCTAAAAATGAATACTTGGTGGGTTGTTTCCTGGACATATCATCTGCCTATGACAGTGTTCTTCTTCCAGTGCTCAGGCAGAAAATGCTTCATCTGAACATCCCTGCGAAGACTGTACACTTCATTTACAATCTGTTCATGGGACGATCTATCAAAATTCGCAATAAAGGAATGTTAACCTCGCCCAGAACAATCTGGAAGGGTCTACCACAGGGCTCGGTCTTAAGCCCTATTCTTTACAATATCTACACATATGACCTTGAACATTCGATTTCATCTTTCTGTGACATATTACAATATGCAGATGATCTTGCTATCTATGTAACAGCTCCTGATATCCTAACTGCCTCCCATCATCTTAACAGAGGCTTATATTATCTTAATCAATGGCTTACTGACCATGGCCTCTCTCTTTCAGCTTCTAAAAGCAAAACAATAACCTTTAGTAGAAAACGTGTTTTCCCTACTATTGATATCTCATATAATGGTGAATCTATTCCAGTTGTTAACAAAGTAAAATTTTTAGGTATTTTCTTAGATTGTCATATGACTGGTACTGCTCACTTTAATTACATCTGTGACAAATGTGAGAAAGGTGTTAATATTCTTAGATCCCTTTCAGGCGTATGGTGGGGTTCTCACCCCATGTGTCAAAAAATCCTATACAATGCCATCATCCGCAGTCACTTCGACTATGGCTCTTTTCTTTTGGAGCCCTGCAACAAATCGGCCCTTAATAGACTTGATGTTATCCAAGCAAGATGTTTACGTATTATCACAGGCGCAATGAAATCAACTCCTAAAAATGCTTTACAAGTAGAATGTGCTGATCCCCCTCTCTCTTTACGAAGACAGTTTCTAGCTGATAGATTTCTCTCAAAAACTCTACAACTATCATCTCACCCCTTACATCGTAAACTAGAATCCTTGCTACTATTAGCTGTAAACAACTCCTACTGGTTTAATAAAAGCTGGCCCCCTATTCTTAAATCTCTAAATAGATTAAAAAATATTGGTTATCCTTGTGTAACATCCCTAATTCTACCCTATTTTGAAACCAGCTATGAAGCTATATTAATAAACCCTAAAATCACTCTGAATTTAAACATTAATAAAAATTCCCCCACTGCAAACAGAACTTTCTACAACCTTGTGGCAAAAAAATGGTCTGATTGGCTATATATTTTTACTGATGCTTCCAAATTGTCTCCATTCAAATGTGTCGGTTCCGCAGTCTGGATCCCCAAATACAAAATTGTCCTTAATTATAGATGTCCTCCTCAAGCTTCTGTTTTTACTGGGGAAGCTGTAGCCATATATGAGGCTATTTCCTATATTCTTTCCCATAAAATTCCTAAGTCAGTTATATTTACTGATTCAAAAAGCTGCCTAATGTCATTACAGAGCAATATATTTAAAATGAATTCCATCTCCCCATTAATACTGAAAATTAAGGAACTCATACTAAATTGTAATAAGAGTGGGCTTGATGTGGAGATTGTGTGGATTCCTAGTCATTGTGGTATAGAAGGAAATGAACAGGCTGACTCTTGGGCCAAAGGAGCTGTTGATACTGGCTGTCCTTCTCATTTAATGATTTACTCTCATGATCTAATGTCATTAGCTCAAATTGAATTAAAGAACTCTTGGAACAGAGAATGGAGCACATCCAGACATATTAAAGGTTGTCACTTTGGTAAAATTCAACCCCAAATCCCTCCAAAACCTTGGTTCTTTAAATTTAGCTTTTTGAACAAACAAATCACATCTACAATCTGCCGTTTAAGGCTTGGGCATGCCTGCACTCCTGTATTTCTAGCTAAAATTAGAATCAAAGATCATTCCCTCTGTGAATGTGGACTGGATGAAGGTACCCCAGACCACATTTTCTTTAATTGCCAAAATCACCCAATTTCTTTATATGACATTCTTCCCAACACAATCCCTCGACCAATGAATATCAATTCCCTCTTAACTATCCCCAATTCCATATATGTCAATATGATCTCAAAATATATTCAAATGTATAATATTAAACTCTAATTATCGTGTACTAAATTTAGCTTAAACTAATTCTCTATTCCCTGCCCAGGCTAATTCTCTCCTATAACTAGATGTTTGCTCTATATTGTGTGGTCCATAATTTATGTATTTAGATGCTTTGTTTTTATCCATATTTTCACCTAATAACCGCTAACTCCTTTTCCACCGAAAAGCCTAAAGACAAGGTGCGACAGACCAAGGACCGGACATTGGCAGAATTATTGTGACATAATCACAATACCAAGGGCCAAATAGACCAAATAATAATAATAAATCTGAGTTTAACTTGGATGCAAGGTAAGATGGTGGGATAATCATAATGCATCTATCCAGCCCAGACAACTAATAACTTTCATAATATAACTAGCCGTGTACCGTACGCGACAACTGAAAATCTGTTGGTTCATTTGAAATTATATTAAAACAAGTTACAAATAACGACGTACTTCCATCCGATACAATCTATAAAAGTCCACTGCTGTACATAGACCTCTCCCATACATTGGCTTATAGGGAGGATTTTGCCATAGTTGCCACACTTGGCAGGCGGGTTGGCAACCGCAGTTTTTTATTATTTTGAGTTATAAGGAAAATGCCCTCTTCTATTTTAGTTACCCTCTGTCGCCTCTTACCATACCCACAGGATGATATAGGGTTGTGGATATTCTTATACCGCCATTTACTTCCAACAATAGTAATACCGAGGTAGTAGCAGTGGTAGGTGGTAGGTAAGTTGAGTAAAGCGAAGTTCCCGACAAGGTCAAGAATATCATTAAGATTGGAACGGACCGACTACGTCGGCGACGTCGAGCCTCATAAGTACGTCGGCCGCACTCTCGACTTGTCGCGTACTATGATTAAATGCCATCAAAAACATAACTTGTAAAAAAACCAAGTCTCGCAACTCAGTTCTTCTACCATAAAAAGTTATGAGATCCATGTAATACCAAGTCGGTTAATTTATTCAGTTACTACTTAAGGGTCCTTCTGTCTCAAGTTATTACGTAATTAGCTAACCTAACAACATCTTATAGGGACCATATCAATATTAAAAATCTTATGTTTTAAATACATAGATTGACTGACTGACAGAACACTGGGAATCAAAATTTAATTGTTTACTAAACTGCCATTGCTATGTTGTAATTAAAATACTGTTCATTGTTTGTTATCAGCTTGAAGAGGAACAGTTTTCATCAGTTGTGTGGTCTCATATAAAACATGACTTTAAGAAAGACATTAAAGAATATAACTTGGATTCTCTTTACTGTCTTTTTGTAATGAGCACGAAGTTTCCCAAGAAGGTCAAAGTGAAAAAATTATTGGCAGTGCCCGAGATATTATGTGAAGAAAATTTGCAAATTATTTGTGAAAAGCTACTGGTAAGTTAATTTTCTTCCTTTTTATTTTTGACCAGGAAAAAAGTAATTAATATTGGATCTGCTTATGTAAAATTTTGACAAGAGGTAGAGACTATATATAGTATTAGAGCAAAACCACACGGTACCATGCTCGGGCGCGGTAGTGCGATACCTCCACGATTGTGGCGTTCCACATATACAAATATGTGGCTCGGTACATGTTTCATGTGACGTAATGTGATCGATGTGAGTGTGTGGGTGCATGCGTGTGCCGAAGGAGATGCGGTATGTTGCAACGCCGCATCAATCGTGTGGCATAACGCCACTGCCCTTGTGGATTTGCTTTGTGGAATATACTAATATTTTTTCGAAGTACCAACTTCATCTGCATATGATGGACCCTAGTAACTAACATCGAGCATGTGGTGAATAATTGATCGTGGAAAATCGATACAAATAAGTCCAATCCAAACCCTAGATAATACTAATAGGAAGCAGGAATACAATACGAGTAGTAGTTGGTAGTTAGGTAGGAAGAAGGCTCTATTTACTTCTAGTATATAATAGAGGTAGTTGTTGGGAGCACTAAGCTCGAAGTTGTTGACGAGTATGTTTACTTGGGACAAATAGTCCGACTAGGGTCCAACTTCGACCGAGAGGTCAATCGACGGATTCAACTCGGCTGGGCAGCGTTCGGGAAACTACGACACATCTTCTCGTCAGACATATCTCAAAACCTTAAAACGAAATTGTACAACCAGTGCGTGTTGCCAGTGATGACTTACGGATATGAGACGTGGTCCTTCACTGCTGGCCGTATGAGGAAGCTCAAGGTCGCTCAGCGAGCTATGGAGAGGGCTATGCTCGGGGTTTCTCTGCGTGATAACCTTAGAAATGAGTATATCCGCAGTAGAACCAGAGTAACCGACATAGCCCAACGGATTAGTAAGCTGAAGTGGCAGTGGGCCGGCCATATAGCTCGAAGAACCGACAACCGATGGGGAAGAAAGGTTCTTGAGTGGCAGCCTCATACCGGTAGGCGAATTGTAGGGCGACCCCCCACGAGAACGAGTGACGACCTGATAAGACATGCAGGAAGTCGATGGATGCAGGTGGCTCAGGACCGTGCTTTGTGGCATTCCTTGGGGGAGGCCTATGTTCAGCAGTGGACTTATGAAAGGCTGTAATGATGATGATGATGATGATATAGAAGTATGGATGACAAAGTGCACACAGTCTACTTGAAAGTAAGTTAATGCTGCAAGCCATAGACACCTACATCTGTTCTCGATTAAGAATCAAATTTAATAATATATGTTGTCAAGGCTTAGGATTAAAATTGAATGCTTTGTTATCAGTAAAAATAGTCTCTGGTTCTTGTCACTCACTATCCGAAACACTGTAGGTAGTTGTTATTCTACACTGGTATTTAATGCGCTGCTCACATGCATAGCATGGTAAGCACGGGTACATCTTAGGAAAGGTGTATAAAGGTTTATACAGCACTGGATCTTAATGGCTAATAAAGCGAAGTGAAAGGAGACTGACTATAATGGGTCATTGATGACGAAAATTCTTAAATGACAATAATCGTAACAAAAAACTGCATATTATATAGGTAAAGTTTGTATAATGCTAGAATCTGACTCAATGTTTAGGGCTTTCAAGCTACACTTGATGATTTTAAATTTTAATAGCTTTCTTTACGGTGATATTATAGTCCCGCAAGTATTAAGTTTTGACGCAGATGTTGATTCTAATTAAAGTTTCACGATGACATTGTAGATACTCAAATGGTACTCATGGTGAGTATGTGCAATATCATCCCGTCATTATATTAAGGAATTGAATTGAAATCTGTTAGCCTGTACTAGTAAGTTGAAGTTGCTCGAGTATATATTAGTGATGATATAATGAATTGCATGTGGTTTTTTTTTACAGACAGGCATTGATTTTAACACAGTTAACCATCCTATATACAAAGAAGTTGGTATACATATTGCTAAATCACCCTATTTAATACAATTTTGGAATAACATAGACAGCCAACTTACCAAACATAACAGAAACAGGGAACTTGTGTGTATTAATTTACTTACTACCATACTTCTGAACTTGGAAGACAATGTTCAAGTGATACCGGAACTCTTAAGTACAAATTTTTTTAAACTTTTTATGGATTGGTTTAAAGGTCTTCAAACAGCTAGCAAAATCAGAAATAAGAGGGATAATGAAGACGACAATAAAATAATAATTAAGAAACAGAAGGAATTACTTAATGCCTTAGCAAAAGCATTAAAATTAGATACAGTCACTGGAAAAATAAGAGTAGAAACATTGAAAAAGCTTTTATTTAACCCAGGTGAAATTAATTTTACCGAAATCACTGGCACTACTGTTATCAAGTCTATTATAATAGATTTGGATGAAGATGGTGTCAAAAAAATCGCCAAAATGTTAAAAAATGTTGTCAAAAATAGTTCCAAGAAAATCAGAGAAAATGTTGAACGTAATTGGTACAACAATGAAAGAGTCAAGGCTGCTGAACTTCTTTCCTTTTTGGTGAGCCACGAAGCTATAAAAGATGACACTGATTTTAAAATCACTAATATGAAATTATTAATGTGTTTTGGGTTTTTCAAAATTGGAGGAGATGAAAATGTTGTTGTGAGCAGTGAGTTAGCAGGTAATTTAAGTTGTTTTTATTAGATTAATTTTTTCATGCAATTGAGATAATAGAAAACGTTTAACTACGCTTTAATTTTTTCAGGTGCTATCAAAACTTGTTTTTATCGTTGCTTTTCATCTCGATTTTCGAACGTAGACAACTTAGTGGATGTATTATCTTCATTAAGTAACTTTATATGTTCAATAATGGAAAAAGAACAAGTAAGAACTAAATTGGAAAAACAGTTCACAAATGAAAACATGGAATGCTGGGAGATGATCACTGAGATATGCCAGAAAATAAATAATGTTAATGCAAAATCTAAAGTTGATAAAGTTTTTCTTATTTTGCTTTATCAAATGGGCTTGTTTTTATTCTCAGAGCCTGCACATGTAAAAGTCGCAAGAAGCTCTATTAAGGAATTAAAAAGTTGCTATGAACATTACAGGAACGAAAATGAGATTGTTAGAAATAATAAACAAAATAGTTTGAATGAGGAGCCTGAATGGATAGAAGTATTGGTGGAAGTTTTGTTATCTATTTTATCAGTTGAATCCAGTGTTCTTCGATCTGTTGTTCAATGTGTGTTCAGGCTACTTTGGGAATATCTGACGCCGTCATCAATTGGGCAAATAGTATCTGTAATAGATCCAGAAAGCGAAGCTAACCCACTCACGCAAGATAGCGAATCAGAAGATGATAATGATGGCAAATCTGACAGTGACGATAACAATTCTGATAGTGATGATCATGACGCAGAAAGGATGAATGGTGACGTAAATAATGATGATGATAGTAATGACAGTGACATTAATATGGATGATGAAGATGAAGATATAAAAATACCAGATCAGTTAAGAATGGCTGTTCAGAAAGCATTAGGTGCAGCAGCACCAGATACTGATACTGAGAGTATAGATGCTGATACAATTAATGAAGAAGACGGAAAGAAGATAGACGAAGCTCTTGCAGAAGCCTTTAAACAATTTCATCAGGTAAAAGGCAAGAAATCTAAAAAGGATCGTAAAGATAAAAAGGCATTGTCGGATTTCAGAGTTCGAGTTTTAGACTTAATAGACATATATATGGAGAAGGATCCAGCAATGGATGTTTGCCTAGCAATGATAGCTCCTTTAACAAGGAGTCTAGAGTTTTGTATTCAGGACAATCAATTTATTGAATTGGAAAATCGAGTCAGAAAAACTATAAAAAACTTATGTAAAATTAGAAAGTTTTCGTCCACACAAGATGTTACGATAGATATATTATGTGATCATTTAAAATCAGTTGTTGATAAAGGCACTCGGTCACATTTTATGTTTCAAGCTTTAGGGGATGTAATAACTTATTTTGCAACATTCATAATTCACTGTTCTATTAAAATAACTTCTAATACGCCTAAAAAGAAAAAACATATAACCCCACTAATTGATATTTTAGAAGATGCCTTGCGTAACTACTTTAAGAATAGAAACTGTTTGCTGCCTATAATTTTCTTCCATAGTGTTTTACAATTAGAATGGGATGGAAATTATGATCTTCTACCCATAATAGTAGACAATATTTTCGACAAAGATGTCAGACATTTTCGGCGCAATGAAGGAATTGAATTGCTAGCTGGGTTTTATCGGACCCTTAAAAGATACAAACCATCTTCAGAAAAAATTTTAAATAAATTATCAAATTTAGAAACTGGTTTTGAGGAGAGGCTCAAAAGTGTTGTCAAGCTTGGTGAAGATTTCAAAGTTAAAAACAATTTTGTTGTATCCTTAAAAAAATTAATAAACACCATGAGAACATTTCATGAAAGTTGCCAAATTGATACAAATTTGGATTTTCAATATTTACTTAACATATCAGGACAAATAAAGAGTACAAGCAAAGGTGAAACAACTAATAACCAAGTTGGACAAAATCAGCAAAATTCTCAGAAACCAACAAAGAAAAGGAAAAACAAAAGAAAACAATCTCAAAATAATGGCAGTGCTGAACCACAATTGAAGAAGTTAAAAAATACATAAATAATACAAGATTTAAAATTGTTTGTAGGCACTTTATTATTATAAATTAATATTATATAACGACTTTTTACTTACTTTTTTATTCACCTATTCAAAATAATTATATAAAAAAAAATTAATATCATTTTAAGTATCACTTATTTAAACATTACAAAATTACAACAACAAACTTATACAAAATTTATATATGCAATATTTCTTGTAACAAAATATCACCGAAATATATTAAATATGCAAAACAACAGCAAAACTACCCTCATGATGCGACAATGGGCAGTTTCTACAACATCACTTTGCTACTTCGTTATTTTAAATGTAGCGGGCTTGGCAGTGAACTATAAACATAGCAGCAAAATCATACTAATCGCAATGATACTTATCTTGCACAACTTGAATATATACGTGTACGTGAATAATTAAGCTTTTAATAAAATGTAAAACCGTCTTTTAAAAAATACTTTCTATATAATAGCTTCGGAAGTTGGTGCTAAAACATAGATATCCAAGAATTACGTGTAAAGGTCCAGAAACTATTGCGAAGAAATTATTTTGTTTTTGGTTTAGCTCTGTTTTACTTTTATCAACAGTTCAATGTAACACTAAGAATATTGTTTAAATGGGTACATTAAAATCTCCTATTTTCCTTCCCTTAAGGATGGAACATTTACTTTACCTGATTCATTGCGGCGCCGATTTTCGACAACTTTTAGCACAAATATTTTATGACACGCCTATTGTGCCATCAGCCATGTGTAAAAATAATTTTCTTTTTTATCCTTTTTTCACTTGTTTAGACGTAATTAAGTTTAGTTGACCTCAAACATCAGTTATAAACGGAAGGATACTTGTTTTTAGTGGGTAACTACGTGTTTTTCTACGTGTTTCTTTGAAATTGAGAGTAAGTGACTTTTTTATGCAGAGATTACAAACCTTTTGTACTATTTTTTGTTTTATAAAAAAATAATTTATATAAGTAGGTACAGCTAAATCACCCTGGAAAACCTTGGTTTTTATTAAATTAAATTTTCACCTAATAATAACATTTGTAAATATCAAACAATCAAGAACCTTAATTTGGAAAAAAATAAGGTTTATGATTCATTGATATTTACAAATGTTAAATATTATTTAATGTTATACAAATGTAAAAGTAAAGTGGTTCTGAAAACGTCTAATTGGTAAGAATAGCAAAACAAGTGTTTTCAAAAGGAAAAAAAACGCCGGCGCTATACGGTGGCAGATTGACAAAAGACTATTTATTAGAGAACTTTTTTTTATGCATGAACGGTTTAGAACAGTTTCAAACAAAAATAAAACCTTATACCATGAGCACATGGTACTTCGAAGGTCTATTCGGCCATATGATAGTAATAAGACTGCAGTTCAACCATTTTAGCCACTCAACCGTCCGCCCCGCGCGAGTGATTCTCGCCTGAACTGTCCGCGAATTAAATGCATACATATATATTTATCTATGATTAAATGTCACTATTTTTTACGACCGCGCGAGACAGTCTTAACAAAAACTACTATAGCTACATTCAAATAAAAAATATTCTCAAAATACTCAAAGAATTCAAAATTTTATTTTGTTAAAAGAAAATTAGTCAAATTAAAAATAAAGCTTAATAAAAATGGGAATATCAAAAAAATATCGTATTTATTTTTTATTTCGAGTTTTACAAGAAAAGTAATACTGGAGACAATTATTTTATATTATAATAGTACATAATATTCCCTTTAAAATGACACCATGATCAAAAACATCTTATATACCCAATATACATAAGTATACGAGTATAATGTTTACCCAATATAAATTTGAATAAATAAGTAAATAAATGAAAAAAATAGATTTTAATAATTTCTAGACACATCTCAACAGATATTTCGTATATAAATTGCTATCAACGTGTTAATAGTGAATCGTTATTTTATATTTTGCATTCATTTAACACAAAAAACTGATAAGAATACATTTTAAACAACATATAATCAATAAACGATGATCGCGTATAGTGATTAAAATTTAGAGCTTAATTATTATATGTAAACGTTTTTTTATTTACTAAAGAAAATATCTTCACAATTAGTTTGATGTACAACAACATTAGAAATAACGTTTATACGCTACGCTTTTATAAGCAGAAAAGTTATCACATTTTTGATCGAATTTCTCACACGTTAACATCATCATCATCATCATTACAGCCCTTCACAAGTCCACTGCTGAACATGGCCTCCCCCAAGGAATGCCACAAAGCACGGTCCTGAGCCACCTGCATCCATCGACTTCCTGCATATCTCACCAGGTCGTCACTCCATCTAGTGGGGGGTCGCCCTACACTTCGTCTACCGGTACGAGGCTGCCACTCGAGAACCTTTCTTCCCCATCGGTTGTCGGTTCTTCGAGCTATATGGCCGGCCCACTGCCACTTCAGCTTACTAATCCGTTGGGCTATGACCACGTCTCATATCCGTAAGTCATCACTGGCAACACGCACTGGTTGTACAATTTCGTTTTAAGGTTTTGAGATATGTCTGACGAGAAGATGTGTCGTAGTTTCCCGAACGCTGCCCAGCCGAGTTGAATCCGTCGATTGACCTCTCGGTCGAAGTTGGACCCTAGTCGGAATATTTATCCCAGGTAAACATACTCGTCAACAACTTCGAGCTTAGTGCTCCCAACAACTACCGGCATCGGTGTGACATGGACGTTAAACATGATTTTTGTTTTGTCCATGTTCATCTTAAGACCTATCCGTTGGGAGACTATTGAGGTCATTGAGCATAATGCTTAGGTCCTTCAGCGATTCTGCCATAAGGACTATATTGTCGGCAAATCGAAGGTGAGTGATGTACTCGCCATTGATGTTAATACCGCATCCTTTCCAGTCCAGTAGCTTGAAAACGTCTTCCAATGCAGCGGTGAAGAGTTTCGGGGATATAACGTCACTCTGTCTTACACCTCTCTGCAGTTGGATAGGTTTTGTACTCTGATTCTGTACTCGGATAGCCATCGTAGCTCTACTGTACAAACACTTCAGCACTTCGATATACCGACAGTCAACTTGGCACCGCTGAAGGGACTGCAGCATCGCCCAAATTTCGACGGAATCAAAGGCTTTCTCATAGTCCACATACGCCAGACATAGTGGCAAATTGTACTCTTCGGACTTCTGTACAATTTGCCCAAGGGTATGTATGTGGTCTATGGTGCTAAAGCCCTTTCGGAAACCGGCTTGTTCGGGAGGCTGGAAGTCGTCACGTCTGCGCGCGAGACGATTCGTAATGACTCGAAAACAGCATGTAGACGCGGCTCAGAAGGGAAATCGGTCTGTAGTTCTTCAAGAGAGCGTTGTCACCTTTCTTGAAGAACAAGACCACCGCACTTCTGCTCCACGCCTCCGGTGTAACGCTACCATGGAGGACGGAATTAAAGAGTTTCTGAAGGACTTCAAGTACAGGTTTTCCACCCGCTTTCAGAAGCTCCGTTGTAATTCCATCCTCGCCTGGGGCCTTGCCGTTTTTAAGGTGCTGGAGAGCCATTCTAATCTCGCTCAGACTGACGTCCGGGATATCTTCGGAATAGTGTCGGATAAGACTCGCTCTTGGATCGTTACACTTGCGTGTTGCTCCAACGATGACGTGTACAGCTGCCCATAGAACCTCTCAATCTCACTCAAAATCTCAGGTGTCCCGGAAACGATGCTGCCACACTCGGTCTTCAGCTTTGACAGTTGGCTCTTTCTGGCAGACAGATCTCTGGCAAAGACTTTGGAGCCTTGGTTCCGCTCGATCGCTTCTTCAATACAAGCTGTATTGAACTTGCGTAAGTCCCGCCGCATGCATTTGGAGAACTGTCTGTTCAGTTGCCTGTATGCTGTCAAATCTGTTGAAGAGTGTAGCTTCATCTCCCGTCTAACAGCTATGAGATTAAGAGTGTGATCGGAGAGTTTTTGTGTTCTTCTGCGGCGGGTCTTGCAAAATTTAGCTCCAACCGCATGGACAGTTTTCACGAGCTTGTCATTCATATCGTCCACTTCATTGCAGTCTTCTAGGCACTGAAAACGGTTTTGTAACTCGAGCTGAAGGTTTCGGGACTCTGGAACAGAGCACGAGGGGGACGGAGCGTCGACTTCATTAGACGAGACCTCTCCAACTTAACGTTTAGGTTCAGTGTGCCTCTAACCATTCGGTGATCGCTACCAGTTTTCACCCTCGTGATCACGGAGATATCACTGAACAGTTGTCGTGTGGTCGTCATAATGAAGTCAATCTCATTTTTTGTCGAACCGCCGGGGCTCGACCAGGTCCACTTCCTGTGGGACCGTTTCTGGAAGAAAGAGTTCATCATAAAAGGTCCCTCTTTCTCCATGAAGTCGGCCAGCTGCTGGCCCCTTGGGTTCCGTTACCTTATTCCAAATTTCCCTACTTTCAGCTCACCATTCTCTCTTGTGCCTAGTTTTGCATTGAAGTCTCCCATTAACACCGTATAGTGGGTTTTGGAGGAATGAATGCCCCTAGAGATATCCTAATACATTTCCTCCACCTACTGATCGGGGTGTGCCGAGATTAGTGCGTAAACCTGTATGACCTTCAGCGAATACCGTTTAGTGATTCTGAGTATAAGGTACGCAATCTTCGTCGACACACCCTCAATCTTTACAACGTTGTTAACGAGAGACTTGTGGACGATAAATCCGACACCTCCTTGGGACAGATGGTCGCCCTCCCGGTGATAGAACAAGTTGCCGGATTGGAGGATTACCGAGTCCTCCCTCTCTCTTCGGACCTCGGATAATCCTATAATTTGCCAGCGTAACTTGTCTATCTCTTCTTCCAGCTCCACGATCTTCTCCTCAGTCCTCAGGGTGCGTGCATTGTATGTTGCCAGGTCGAGTCGTTTTAGGTG